TTTATCTATTTTAGACACCATGACACGTTTCGCTGTTATCTATTCTATTTTTATATTATTACGTCATGACATGTTTACTGTTGACACGAATTTTAAATTTGAATATTGCTCATGTAATTAGTATGCTCCTGAAGAAGACCGAGACGGTCGAAACGTCGAGCTATTAAACCAACAAAGCTACTCTAGATAGATAGATATAGATAGATATAGATACATCGTGATTTGGAGAACGTCCGAGTCAAGTTTCCCTTATCTGCCAAAGCTTTGAGGAAAGTCTTGTTTGGGTCATAAAGTGCGTCTCCATTTGTCCTTTCCCCGTCTAAAAACGGGACATTTCGACCGAGCATCGTCCTAAGTTGGTCAAAACGGGCGGCTGTTGCGTAGTTGTTCCAAACCAGAGAAGGAAACCATTTCCTGACACCAACTTCCTGCGTCTTGGATCAGTTTCATGCATTTATTCCACCCTTAGTTTAATAATGTCATTTCCAAGGAACACTCTTCTTATCGAACGTTTCTTCTATTTCTTATCCCTCCCCTCTCCCCCAAATTCCAACCAAGACTCTTTTCGAAATCTGGCGGGTTTTAAACTGAATAAGCAGTTTGTTCTTAATGTATCGGAAACGGGCTAAATGTACCGGAAACTGAACTTCATCTAGTGTGATCACTTAATCTAGCTCATGTCTTTTCATCTATTTATCGATATCATTTGCATTTCATCCTTTACTTGCAACAGGGACAGCAAAACCATGCCCAAGAGGTCAAACGGGTCTGTTTCCAAACTGCACAGGTTAGTATCATAACATATATGTGAAATGGGCTACGCTTGGCTGCACAGGATTCATTTTTTATATATTTATGTTTTTTTTTTTTTGAAGTTTGGATAAAAAAGGATTTTCCATTTGCTGAAATACCTGTTCCAAACATCAGCTACGTCGCACTACAGAGTGGTGAATTCACTGACGAAAAACCAAAACTCAACTGTTCTTTTAACTTCTCAACTCGGAAAAACGTTTCCTTTTACATTCAGTGGTTTATTAGCGGCGAAGTTGTCTTAAATGAGACAATTTGTGAGAGTCCTGAGGACTCCTGCAACCTCAGGTATTCTCTCCTGTTTCAATCGAAGTACAGCCTTGGAGATACGGTAATCGATTTTATCACTTACGAGTTACTGTATTACTACATGTCTCATCTAACTTACCTTTCATTTTTTATTAAATTTTTTTTCTTTGTTTATCTGCCTATTTTGGACCAGTTGTTGGGAATTTATTCAAAATTATGTTTCGAACTGTGTTTTCGGTTGTGAGTGGGTTTGCTTGTATGCGTTCTTTGTATGTTTGTTCTTTTGTTTGTTTGTTTATTTTTTCTTAACATGATTTTTTGGGGCTTAACATCCCGATATTTTCAAATTATTCTACTACTCAGCCCTTTCTCTTGCTTGGAATAAGGTATTAACGTATTCTATTTTCTGTTGGCCGGGTAAAACTTTCATTTTGAACGTCTTTTTCGAGTTTTACAGAAAATTACACAAACAAATCCCGATATCGGGCCAGCCTTTTGAATGAACTAGCCCCATTTGATTAATAAAGGTAACCGCAGCAGTATAGAGCTAGGTTTCATATATTGGCAACAATCGCGCCAAGTAAATTAATCGAGGACTTAACGCACCCATAAAATCGCATAGGCTTACTTCGGGTATGTTTTTTTCTTATATGCGTTTTTTACGGCTAACGAAACGTAACAAAAAAACGCTCGAGTTTACCTTAACTAACTTGTGATTCTGGTTTCACTCACCATTTTAGTTGCAAAATATATTATTCGTTTCTCTTGCATGGTGGACATCAAAATGTGTTTTGAATCAAGGCAGCTGTTTTACCAGGCTAGGCTGAATATTACTTTTCTCCTATCATGTTATTTTCTTATGAATTTTGTCAGACTTTCCATACATATTACACTTTCGTTACAGAGTGTATTGGGCCATCTGTCAAAAGAGATTTTCCGGATCTGTATCCGGCGATATACTAAACATCTATTCATCGAAGGTTTTAACAGTTATATTGGCTGGTTATTTTTCCATATAAGGAAAATCCTTTTTTCTAAAAAATAACTGAAAAGTGTAAACAAATTTTCACAAATGATGCCAGAAATCTTGTTCTAGACATCTCATAAAATATTAAAACAGATTTGATATTGTAACATCATTCTATATTTCTTCTCAACAATGTGTTATGTGCTTTTACTTTGACAGCTTCGATGCGACTTATGGGCGAAGTACAACACCCATCCTGACAACATTTGGACTAATCCGGTATCAAGCCAATTGTTTTTTGCTGGAATTGAAGTAAGTCAGACTCTTTTTCAAATTTAATTGTAGGTAAGGAGACACAGGGGCATGTTTTCAAAAGCTCTGGTAGTTTTTACTCACTTTTCGGGGATACATTCAAAACAAAGCACTAAGCTATTCATCAAGCACCATTTGGTGCTTGCATTTAACAATTAGTTCTCCGTGTTCCAATACGTATCTTGCTCTGCGCATGATAGCGTGCATAAAATGATAATAATGGCTGAAATAAGAACTAACGCTCAAATATGTACGAGCAAAAACATTAGCAGCTAAGGCCTTATTTTTTATCAGGATTAAACCACAACAGCTTAAAAGAATCTGTATTCTTTCTTGTATGTCACATGTTTAGATCGAGCCAGCCGAGTTGAGTGTCACGCAGTGTGACGTGGGGAACGTCCTCCACAGAATACAGCTAAAACCGAATCTCCCTATTCGCCAAGGCAGTATTAAAGTGAAATTTGGTACGAAAGATTTCTTCCAAGACGTGTTAATGAATACCTGTGAACTAACCTTGGTACTTGGTGACGAACAACAATGGCATAACATATCAGTTCAAGTGGCGTGTGACAACACAAACGAACCATTGGCGCCGTCTGCCTTCACGTTCACGGTGGCTGATACCGTATCAGTATTAAACGCTTTCTGGCTCAAATACGAACTCCCATCGGTCCTGGTAGGTGATACTCAATGCGTTTCTTCCCTGATAGGTCTTATTTGCTAAAATAGAGCATCTTCAACCTGCCATTAGGCCTCCTCGGGGACTGGGGCACACATTAACGGAAATTACACGCTCAATTAGCTGTTGATCCAAAGTCACGTGAGTTAAGTTAGCTTTTGATCGTGATCGCGCGAAGATCTCAAAAAGCCTGTGATTGTTGATTAAAAATTGAAATCGAATCTGTGTTCTTCCTTGGATATTGTCTCCAGCGGCCATAAAATTCCGAGAAAGCTCTTCAAACATTTAATCCTGAGTGAAAGATACAAACTGGAATAGGAGTTTTTTCGACATTGCACTCCGAGTCGGAGCTAATAAGATGGTGAGAAATAATATTGAAAATCATAGAGATAAGGATTAAGTAGGCCTGAGCCTCGTCAAATATCAAACCTTTAGAATTCACTTGAAGCTTTCTAAAGCACTCATGAATAGGCTTCCAAAAATTTATTTTTATTTGCTCTAAAATTCTGTTTATTGTTTTGCAGATCACCAAGGTAGAGAATCCTGTTAAGATCTGTTGGGCTACAGGGGACCCGCATTATTACACTTTTGATAAGAGGTATGTATAAATTGTACCTTGTATATGTCTGACGAGAGCATACATAACGGTATGCCCGAATAAAACCAGGCAGAAAGGGAAATGGCATCACGAAGTGTACCACGAGCCGGAACGAGAAGGCGATATACATCAAGAACAAGAGATAAAGAGAGCGATAAGACACATCGTGCCACAGAATAATTTCCTCAAAAACGACATCCGTTTTTTTACTCTTTTTATTTCCCTTCTTTTTCCCCTATTTACCTTTTCTTTCTCCTTTTTTACCGATGCATTTTTGTAACTTTCTCTTTAACCCCTCTAACTGTAACTGACTGATCGACTCTGACTAAAACAAGTTATATACAGCTTTGGTAGACCCTCTCTCTCTTACTCTGATCGACTCAAGTACTCTGGCATGAGTGGGCATGCTAATCGACTGACCGTGTGAGGTTAAACAATAATTCGAACGATTTCACGAATAATATATACTTATTGACCGAGTGGGAGGGCCGGACAGTAAATATTTGGCTCAAGGCGTTCGGGCAGAGCTCAACTATTTAATTGAGGAGTGAGAAAGTTGTGAGAATGCGGTCGATTACGCTAAAAATAACACTTGCAACAAAATTTGAAATGCGCACAAAGTTGTAGTTTATCAATTTTTCGTTATTCAAGATTTTTTCAAAGACAAACGTTTTTTTATTTAGATAGACTGTTTTTCCTCTCATCGTCAATTTTATTTTTTCCACCTTAAATTCGCACTTTCCACTTGGTCGGCTCGTCGACGAATTTGTGTAACTCGATCATCGGGAAAGGCGTTTCAGTTTGTAGGTTTTATCTTTCATTTACGCTCTTGTGAGACTAAAAGTAGGTTGTCTTCTGCTTCAAAAAAATTAAGGTAAAGTTATAATTTTTTGGGAGAAAACTGTCTGCTGATTTAATAAAGAAGTAAGTTTTTCGTGTTCTTTTAGTTCGCTGCAAAATAAATGGCTTACTTGCTGAATGCTAATTGTGTCTCCACTTTTGATAGATATCTGGATTTAAGTAGTTCATTAAAGGAGTTTCAAAATATTAAATTTCATTCGTTTGCTGCAAGTTAGCTGTCGGACGCTGTTCTGATCTGCTTGCGGAGTTAAATAAATGCAAAACTTGTCCTTTCATTCACAACGCTGTGAAAATATCGGGATCCATTAAAATCACTGATCACTTCACGTGCACCTCCGCCAACGTCATCTATTGCATAACTAGCACTTATTGCAAAAAGATATGCATCGGTGAGACAGGAAGACGACAAGGTGACCAATTCCGAGAACACCTTCGCGACGTAGAAAGGAATGACAAGGGCACATCAAAACCAATCGCCAGACACTTTAATCTACCTAATCAATTTAAGCTGCATATGGCAATGTGCAGTCTTTCCTTACAATTAGGTAGCTCGGAAAGCCGCAAAACTCTTGAACAAAAGTTTGTTTTTGAAATCGGCACCCTTAACCCCATAGGTATCAACGAATGCTTTTCATTCTACTAATTTATTCGTGTTTTTTTCGTCACCATGTTCCCACCATGGCCAATAGCGTAGTTTCACTTTCTGCATATAAACCTACATGCAACATACGATTCCTCCATTCGCTCTGACGAAGGGCTAACGCTCTAAACGTGAACTCTTTAACTCTTAACGGTGGTAAATTTACAGTTTCAACTTAGTTGCCATAACCAAATTTCTAAACCATGGTAGAGTTTGCGTATTCTCGATCAGAAGCGCGGTGAAGTTTAACTTAGTGCGCATTTAATGGTCATTGTCACGCTTTAATAAACTTCGGTTCCCAGACATACGTAATAGTTTTAGGGTTATAAGCTTCTGGCTCAACTTAGCGTAAGTTATCAGTGTTCCGTTCAACAAATCGAAAGTGGTTTAATGCAGTCTACACTCTTATTGACAACGATCTTCGTCATCATTTTTTTGAAATGTTGTGCAACAAATTTAAGACAAAGACAACGGTAAATCAGCCAATTAGACTGCAACATCACTGATAGTTGTGGTAAAAAATAATTAATTAACCCCTTTCAAGCCCAGTAAGACTTGAATAACACATTACACTTGATGTGCACTGTACTTCGAAGTGATTTCTTTTTTAATTCGATATGATTAATTCCGTAACTAACTTCCGTCAACTTTCCAAGTTGTTATCGTACAGGTTGTTACTGTACAATTCAGTGAGTCAGTCTCACTCAAAGTTTTAGTTTAAATCAATTAACCAATCACATTTAAAATTGTACTTTAAATCAACCAATCACAGTAGGCTAAGAGTCGAAAGAAGGCAATGCAATGCAATGCAGTTTGCTTGAGCAAACTTGTTACAGCAGCAACAGTTTGAAAGTATTGCAAGTAATTGACTTTCAGTCCAAATTTTACATGGAATTCGTAGAGATAGGAATTTTCCGTCTTTACTGAAAAGTTCTTGCCCAATATATATTCCATGCTTCAACTAAGTTTTCCGAAACGGTGTTTTTTTGTTGTTGTTGTTTTGTTTTATTTGTTGTTGTTGTTGTTTTGTTTTATTTTGTTTTCGTTTGTTCTAAATTAATTGGTATGTCCTTGTTGTTCCATAATAGACATTTCTCTCTTGTTTCTCCTTCGTACTGATATACTGCTCAATTCTGGAAAATATCTCAGTAGTTCACGATAAAACAAGAGAATATTCGCTCGAAATAGATCAACCTCATTGTTACACTAAAAAGGTTAGACCACCATGTATGCTGAAAAAAGAGTATGGGAAAGCCTTCCAGGTGGCGTTTGTGCCATCCAGAAGTCTGCTAATCCAACTTAACCTAAAGATTTGACCATTGTTCGGAAGTTTGTAAAATTTAAGCCTTCGATAAATAATTGATAAATCACTTTCTTTTAGTTCCTCCACAAAAAAATATATATGACCTTCATATATTCATTGTATCCAAAAAAGTGAAAAGTTTGTTAACATTGATGCTGCATAGATCAATCGAAAGAACACCCATTGTCTTCGCCAGCATCAATCGACCATAAGCGGATATCGCCTGTTAGCTAAATGTTAAGGTTTTACGTACTATTTAAAAAACGAGCAGCAGTGTTTTATCGGGTTTAAAAACACGAGGCGTAGCCGAGTGTTTTCAGACCCGATAAAACACGTGCTGCGAGTTTTTTTTAAATAGCTTAAAAAACCCGTACCTCTCTAGGGATTTTTCAAAACGTGATTTGAATGCATTAAAAGTTAACTACATACAGTGGGGAAAAGTACTCCTTGTTCGGCTGCTGTTAAAGTTCAGAAAGCTTTTCCTTGAAATGCCGCTCAAACGCGTATTTCGAGAACCAAAAAATGCGAAGGAAGAGAAAGATTACTTGGATAGTTGTGTTCCAAGGGCTACTCGGTATGCCACAAAGTGGGCTTACAAAATTTTTGGCGAGTGGCAAAGTTCAAGAAGAAATAAAGACACCAACTTGGAGGAAATAGGATTTAGAGTTGAAGTTGNATATAGTTAGTTATATAGATGAGCTTCGGGCGAAGCTCATCACCTTAGTTGTGATTTGAGCACTCTCGCATGGCAACGTGTCTGCACTTGGTCCCACAAGTGTAGCGCCCAGGCAATGGTTTATTCCAGAGCTTGGCCCAGTGTCTGCACTACACTGATGAGACCCACAAAGGTCGAAACAGTGTGCACTGTCTATAGTTAGTTATATATATATATATATTCTATGATTGTAAATCAGAATAGACATTTTTTTTTTCTTGGTTCAAAATGAATTATAAATTATAGTCAAAATTACTCGGTCTTTCTATAGCAAAGTGATGTCAGTGTACCCCAAAGATCTCTTAACTATACTGAGTTTCAAGCAATACCATATGTTCCGACAAGAACATCAGCAGAGCTTTGCAGACTTGACTCTTCTAGCTCTTAGCAAAGTATGCTCACAGAGTAGATGAAAGACATACTCGGTGAATTTACCAAACCCAAGCGCATGCAGGGCACTTGCTCACTTAAGGCTGATTTTCACTCACGAATGAGTCAGAGTTGGAGTCAGTTTTATTCAGAAGCACAGAGCGATACAACCTGGTGAAAATAGATTCGACAGAATTAGAAGAAAAATATCTATGCCGCATACGACTCTCTCGCCAACGATCCAGTGAAAACTGGATTGTCGGAGTCCGAAGCGGAAGCCGAATAACAAACCACTCAAAATGCCTAAGAACTGGGTTTAAGCCGCTCCAATAGGGTGGCTGTTGAAAAAAGTCGTAAATAAGGTCGCTTTATTGGCTCGTGATCATTCAGTTGGACATTGCTAACTTTATGATTTTCAGAGAAAGGTGGTTTTCGTCTTGTTGCATTGGTGCAACTGACGTTCGATTCCTCGTGGGAACTCAGAATTTTTTCTTTGTTTCACGCTCTTGACAAGACGAACAACATCTTTCTCTATTTCTTTACCAAGCTCTAGATCTACCATCTTTCTCTTTCTCTTCATACTTTTTGCTTGTTTGACCGTTGGTTTGTTTGTTTTTGTTTTGTTTTTTTTAAACTTAAATATAGGATATTAGACAAAGGACTCTGTGACATCCGACTTCGACCTTGTATGAGAACCATTGTCTTTGGGGAATACTTCTTGGATTCCGAAAATTTGACATGTCACATAAAAGAGTTTTCCGTAAGTAAAATTTCGTGATCATGATTCTACTGTTTGTCCTCGTTACTAACAAGAATAGATGCGAAAACTGCTCAACACAGCGTTCAATTCCAAAAGTAACGAAGCCACAAAGGTTATGCTGAGCATGAACTTGACCTATTAACAGGTTGTACCTGGGAAATGGGCCCCAACGAATGAAACAAGAACTTTGAAAGGAAAACAAACTGACCTGTTTGCAATCGAATGCCAACTTCCCACGCCTCCGTTAGATGTGGGAAACTATGACGTGGAGGGCACTCCAGCAGCAGGATACCGAATAGCTGTTTCCAATGACAAGACTCGTCACAGTGAACTACTTGAATTAATTACTTATGATTCTATCTGCCAACAATGCAATATTTCACATGGCTGTTTCCTTAAGGTATGTATCATACTTTGATAGCTAATCACAACCTTATCCTATACACCTTTCCACCATCTCCTTTTACCCTCCTCTCTTAATTTACTCACTTTTTTATATCTATACAAAGCCATTGCAAGTTTAAATATATGAATAAAATATATATACATATTTATGTGTTCAATAAATGTTTAACGTATTTCGCGAGGCCTCGGTATCAATTGTATCGTAGGATGAATCATGTCTTATTGGAGGTCACTGCTTTGCCAAAGATGCTCCAAATCCAAACAACTGGTGTCTGCAATGTATTCCTTCGACAAATCAACATAACTGGACACGACGAGTTTGTGAGTTATTAGAAATGTAGGACAATGGAAGAATGATTTAGTATTATCAAATAACTTAACGAATGAATGAATGAAACAATGAAATGGATGATTACGATTTTGAAAAGGTATAGTGGATGACTTTAATTTTAAGGTTTAAAGCCCTAAAAGTATTGTAAACACGATATTTGACATAAGTTCGCCGAAAATTTTGCAATATGAGCCATACATTTTAAAATATATGTTAAGATGCCGTGAAATTTTTTTTTTCTGTTGTATTTCTTTTGTTTGTTTGTTTTTTGTTTTGGTGTTGTTGTTGTGGTTTTTTTTTTTCATCTGTTTGTTTGTTTCTTTTTGATTGGGACCCCTAAAATACGCGTGGAGATATAGCAACGAAAATACCTTAAATAAACTTTGAAATGTGCACTTCTAAATCTAAATTTCTAATCTACAAAGGACAATACAGCCCATCTTCAGCAGATATACCCACCC